GAACACTTATTTCTTAAAATTATGTATTTATAAAAAGTTATTTTTTAACGAGACGAGTTAAAAAGCTTTTCCTTTCTTTTTTTTTTTTTTTTTAAGCGCATTGCATCTAACTGTTCAAATAAATCAAGCAGGGATTATTGTGAGAAGGCTGTAAATATTTTATGATTTTGACAAGGACGACTACAACTTAGTTCGGGCTAATTAGGAAAATTTCGAATATTGGAATTACTTGCTGAGAAAGGGTGTCGTAAAAATAAGGGATGTCATAAAAGTAAATAGGCAATAAAGTGAAGCTGTAAATCTATTCAGGTAATAGAAACGCATAGAAGTACACTGTCACTCATCTCTTACCTGGGACGAATTTTAAACTTTCTTTACAATTCAGAAAATGCACCAGCATTTTCAATATTTCAAATATTCTTCTAACAATTGTCCAGCTGCTCGATCAGTTTTCATCATATGTAAAATGCCAAATAAAAATTCAGAAATTTATTTCTTTTATCTTCCGAAGGTCAGATTACAGTAAAATTAAATACAACAAAGAAAACTTAATAAGGTATAAATTCTTACAATAAAATTTAGTATAAATTACTGAATATGTATCCTTCACCGAAGAAGAAAGTGTCTGCTCGTATCTCAAATATTTCTTCGATATTCTCTATTTTCATTGGTCAAAGATACTCAAATAAAGAGAAACTTCGGTATAGAAGACATAGAAGATGCCGTTAAAGACCCTCTCTCTGAGACCAAATTACAGACGCCTTTAGTGTCGGCACGAAGCAAGGATGAAAAGAGAAGAAAAAAGACAGGATATGTAGGTATATCTACAGGCTGTGACGCGGATCGTGCAAAGGGTCGTCGATCTTAATCGCGGATCCTCGACAATGATCCTCTCAAACGGATGAGCCCTCGGCCACTCGACGACCGATGAAGATCTCTTCCCTCGAGGGGATACACGGTGTTCCAAACCTTGCTACGAAACAGCGACCCCCTAACACGTAGCTTCCCATATCTACGGGGGATAGTGAGCCAATCCCTGTACGAACTGATCCTGCTACAGTATATCATATTATCCTCGTGCTGCACTCTTCGCCTCGCCCATCCTTTTTGATCCTTGCCTCCGACTCTCCAACCGGCAGGAATCGCTTTCACGATGCTTCCAGCTGACGTGAAAGAAGTATTTAGTTTCCTCTTTCCAATCGCTGTTTGTTTCACCCGATTAGAAGCGACAGATAAGAGTGTCGAAAAATGGAAAATTGTCGAACAACCGGGTGACAATCTCAGTCTCCTTTAATTGATCATATGAAATGTATGATTTCGGTAGCGCTCGATTATTAATAAAATACACCGACTGTTCAAGCAAGCAAGTTTTTGTTAGTTGCACAGCCATGTCACAGGTAGACGCAAGAATACGAAAGAAATATGCAATATAACTTTCTTAATCTACTCTCTTCGTGCGTCAACAGTTCTAACTTCTCGACAATTTTAGTCTGAAGAAAGATCAATCTGCAATTTCAATTTCTTAAATACAAACCGATTTTAGAATTTCAATTCTCTGGCTGAAAAAATGCGCGTGAAACTCCTTGTTCAGACTCAAACTTAAAAACTTAAAATTTATACTAGACCAAATACACGTGATCAGGGGCGACTCGTGCATAGGCACACTGTTCAACTGCAGCGCCCCAAATATTTCTCAACATGCAAATATATATTCATCGATTTAATCATATTTGCTTCCGATGTTTAATATCATCAACAATCCTATACAATTTCTCTTGTTTCGTATAAAAAAAAATGTACTGTATTTACAATGCGTACGTATATGTTGGAAGCAGCACCTCCGCTTGTATGCAATACAACAATGTAAATATATTATATTGTCGTGCAAGATTATTGTATCAGCAGACCGTACGAACGGCTGCAAAATCCCATAACACAATTTCAGAATCACCCCGTAACGTTCCTACCCTACGTGCAGGGTGAATTCTGCGATAGACACGTTACGGAGGTTTTCTCCCACCCCTACGAACTCGCCCCGTAGTGATTCGACGGGCGACGTGGTGGGGGGAATGGGGGCTGGCCGATGGGCGTGGCTTGTTCCAGGACGAAAAAACTCGAAGCTTTCGCTGGCGGATTGAACTTAGTCTCCACTGAGACGCCACACGGCGCAGTTGAACGCGCGGAATTCGGTACCCTGTGCGAACTTCACTCCTAACCGTCTGGTGTACTGTGAAGGCATATCGATAAAGCGAGCAAAGTATTGCAACACGTTGATTATTGCAATTAACACGTTGTTTCGTCGAAGTGTAAATAGAAGTGCTCGGTCTACAGTACACGATCGGAGCGTGATTGATCGTTGCAATTGATTTGGTCGTTCGGTTTTGAAATATCTGTGCAAAATGATGCACACGATGAGCGAGCACACGGCAGGATCTGGCGGACTGGGTGTCAGTGTGCTTCCCTTCGACGGGATGGGTTTGTTCGAACAACAACGACCCAGATTCCTCTTCAAGATGCCCAAGGTTGTTCCCAATCAAAAAGCCAAGTTCGAGACGGAGGAACTATTCAGGCGACTGAGTCGTGAAAGCGAGGTAATTTGAGATTTATTTTTCGTAGGTGGAATGTTTTTTTCCTTTCCTTTTTATGATATGCATGGCTTTCAGAGCATTGAGCTTGGTCGTTGTAAATTCGAGAGAATAATGGTAGAAAATCGAAATTACAAATTGGTTCGATTGAAAAACCGAAAATACTTGTTAAGCATCTGAGCTTTCTAGTTATTTGAATAATTTTGAATTCATAATACGTTACAAGTTTCTCCAACGGTTAATTTGTTCACTCTGATTGTTGCCACAAAAATGATTGTTTATTATAGTATGATGTTCTGAACTGAAAGTCAAAGCGTAATATTATTACTAATATTTAAAATAGATCTTTTCCTGTGATGCGTACAATTTTTCAACTTTCTATTCATCTATGAATCACTCGATCAACTAGATCTTTCAAAATGAGAATAACTTTACAAGAAACTATATCCTTCGTCAATATCTATAACAAAATAAATTTCGTCCACTATAACGTCTCTATTCATTCGAAAGGAATGTCGTTTCCTCGAATTTGTCGTTGCTCGTGAATTAATTCCCGCCGCTGATTTCATTCTCTTCCGACGGTTGCTTGTGTGTGTAGAGCCATCACTGAATCATACTACTCGTAGCTCGTATTCAAGCTTATTCAAGATTCGTAGAAATTAGTCGAATAAAAGTGTTTTTAATTTCGAGCGTTCTCGTAGAAACACTTCCGAGTGGAAAGATGCTGAAAAAATGTGTTCAATGTTGCTTGTTCAGGTGAGATACACTGGTTACCGAGACAGACCAGTCGAAGAACGCCAAGTACGCTTCCAAAATGGCTGTCGAGAGGGCTACACGGAGATCGCGTTCGCCGCAACTGGAACAAACCTCCAACTTGTTTTTGGCAACGCTTCCGGAAATTACGCCAGTGATATCAACGACTGCGATTTCGAAAAGGAACGTGGCAAGGTTGGTGCATATTTGTAATTGCTTATGAAATCCTATGGCTTTAAGCAACCCGCACGAAACGTTCATCCTTGAGTTTCTAATTTTGATTACCTTTGAGTTAAAGGATAACTATCTGCTTACGTCAAATTCAATATCAGTAGCATTCCACGCGAATCTTTCAGAGGCCTAAAATATTTAAGCAAATTTTCGATAAAATCAGAGAATCAATAGGCTGAGACTTTCAATTTCTACGAAAGTGCTGCACAATGTTTCCTTCGATTGTAATTAAGAACGCAGAATTTTTTAACATTCGTAACATTAATCTATTCGTATCAAATTAAATACTAATATGACATATATACTACGAATCAAAATAGATCTATTTCAGTGAGTCCCAGTGATTTGTAACGATTAGTTTGTATTACGGTCGCGCGTGTAATGACGATTGTGACTCTAATTGGCCCATTGCGAGTTGACAAATGGAAGGTGGGGGAGGGGGAGGTCATGAAACGAGCCCAGACAGGGCATTTAGTTTTTCGTGTCCTTGGCATCATATGTCCCGGGACGTAGCGTTGCACCCACGAGCAGCATTTAGTATCCGTAACAATAGTGCTACCGTGACGCACTCTGTTCTCGGCAGAACGACAGACATCCGGTGCCGAAATTTTCGACTCGGCATCCATGCAGGTGATGAAACGAGATTTATGACGGCGTGACGAGTCAATTTACGAGGTTCCTTAGACGTTGAACTAACAAATACGATTTCGAACATCTTTCAGAATTACCTAATTCGAAAACGATCTTTGGAAAGATTGGATTATTCTTTAGCTCCTTTAGATCGTTGAAAAATTCTTCTAGTCGGTTAAAATATACTTGAGAACGGTTGAAGTCAGTAAGTTTATAAAGTTAAGTACAAAAATTATAAAAAGGTCTAATTTTTATAGGCATTTTTTTTGTCCTGTGTTCTTTTGTATTTTGACGATTGTGTAGTAGCTTTTTGAATTATCGAAAAAGGAACTTGGTGACCTGGTACGCCGGCGCCGAAAGAGGGGCGTCGCCATCGCGATCGATAGATGGGTCGCGAATCCGCCATTTTCTAGGAAGCACGCGTGCAAATATTCTCCCTGCCTCTTTCGTTTTCATTCCCTTCTTCAATTCGTTCTCCGAATTTCAAACAGTTCTAACAATAAGTAGGATTCTCCTCGAGGAGATAAATGAATGTTATTCAATGATGTATCACACGTAGACGTTTGGAGAACATTTACGAAGGTAGTTAAGATTGACGACAGCATAGGGAGAAGATTTTCGAAATCGGAAAGATTCAACGGTCCCATTAACAGTTACTAGAGGCAATTAGCGCTTTTTCCAAGACCGTCAAACGTCCCGAACCTTGGTGCCAGATGCCTGAACATTTTACAAGTCACCCGGTATATAATGGGTCATAAATCTTCCTCTGTCTCTCTTGGGATCCTCCGAAGGGTGAGCGCAAAGTTCTCTGGTAGAATTCTTTGCCACTCTCGGTCGTCCTGGAGAACTCGTCCAAATTTCACCGCGTCCCTCCTCCAGTTAGTTTCTAATGTTTCATTGCAGCATCAAATGTATTCGCTGTTAACAAAGTGCAAACAAAGTTTCATATCTGTTCGTTAATATAATTTTTTAGCGACTTTAAAATAATCCATAGTTGACCAATTCCATCATTTCCATTAAGCGTCGAATGATCTAGCTCGTGTTCAAAATTGTTCAATTCTTAACACGCGTATCAAGTATGATACACGTCGAAAGCAATTGCTGGTGTCATTATTTACGTGCAAAAAATTCTCAGCTACCGGAAAGCTAAGAAATAATTTCTACATATTTTTAAAATTCCCTGCCGTGTAAAATTCTTTTCTTTCGGGGCAATTTACCCAAAACTAGCTTGGCACTGAATAACTGCGTTGAGTAACAAATTATGTTCTTACCTAAGATCGTTCAATTTTGAAATCTCACCACTCGTATCACGGATGAATCACACCACTAGATTCTGTCTACGCTCTGCTGTCAGACAACGAAGCAGAGAGTCGCGCTAACGATTCATTATTTCTCTACTCGAAATAAAAAGAAAGAGAGAGAGAGAGAGAGAGAGAGA